TGGTCCCGTTGGTGTCCACTGATATGTGACATGGTCTGCTCCCTCCACAGAGCACCTCAGGGTGGCATTGCAGGACCCGCTCTCAGAGATGATGTAATCCACTCTAACTTGAGGACTTCTCAGCTGCCCGGTTGGAGCAACAGTTTCAAAAGACAAATAGTAATAAAAGACCTTCCTAGGCCATGTCAGGAGGAGAGGTCTCAGGTGATCAAGAGGAGAGGACTCTGAGAAACCCAGACCCTTCAGAGGTGGGATGCTGGCTCTTCTATTTCCTGCCCCTGAGGGGCTGATTAGAGAAAAGGAAAGGTTGTGGGTGTTTTCAACCAGCTGCAACCACAGCCACCAGCCGGAATCTGCTGGTGACTGAAGGACATAAAAGGAAAAGAAAATGAAAAATGAAGCTCAGGACCAGCAGAGAGCATAATGGTTACATTGCTGGACTCCCATGCAGTTGACTGCAGTTGGAATCCTTAACCCAGACGCTTAAAGTTGATACTGGGCACACGTGCATGTGTGTCCAAAACCCTGAGGAAGAATGGAGGAGAAGGGACTGTGATGTGGCCATGCACCATACCGGTTGATTTCTCACCTTTTGTCTCCCTGGTAAGCGTGTGCGTCCTACAGCAAAAATCTCTTTTAAAAAAATCTATATAGGAAAGTTCTGGCCAAAAGAGTGAAACTGGAGGGGACCAGCAGTTAGTGTAATGGCTATGTTGCTGGACTCCCATGTAGTTGACAGCAGTTCGAGTCCCGGACCTGGTGGCTTAAAACTCATGCCATGCGTGTGTGTACGCATGCCAAGCTCCTGAGAGGAGAATGGAGGAGAAGGGATTGCGGCTTGGCCATCCCCCCGGAGGGTGATTTCTCGCTTTCTATCTCTGTCTCTCTCTGTCTGGTGAGTGCACACACCCTATAGCAAAAACCTAAAAAAAAAAAAAAAGAGTGAAACTGGAGCACTACATTTACCAAGGATCATCCAGCCCCCAGGATCACAGGTGGTCCCAGCACCCTACCCAGAGGGCCTGGTTCTCCAGGTCCTGCATCAGCCATCGTCAGGTTGTGGAACTGCAGAGTCAGGATGAATGAAATTCAGTTGCGTTCTCCACTTAGGATGGATCACATGTGCACTTCCTGCTTCTTTCGGGTTTATGAAGGCAGTAGATTCTCCATTGCGGAACACGGTGATGGCTGTGATGTCCTCGGCCTTCCCTCCTGTGGGTAATTCCAGGGGCAGAGTTACCGACGTCTCTAGGACACCATTCACTACCACTGGGGTTGAGTTGCCTTGTGAAACTACGTTCCCTGTAAACACCGAAGGAAAAAGTCATAAAACTGTCTCTGATGGCTCCCCATCAGTCTGCCCATCAGTCCCTGCTCTCCATGCCAGGGCACGCAAAGACACTGAACACCGACAGGTGCTAGTGATGAGGCAGTGCAGAGCTCGCAGTGGGCAGCACTTCTACTCTCCTCCTGCTGGGATTTCTAGGCAGCCCTCCAGGATCCTTCCTGCTGGGATCACCCTTTCTCATCCAGGAGTGGGTTTCCCTGAGAGCTACTGACCCCAAAGGCCAGAAGAACACAGCCCTGCCCTGCTGGCTCCTCTGATCCCCTGCGCCCTGGATGCCAACTCTGCAGTTTTCCCATTTTCTGAAATGCTTCCCCTCCAGAGCTGGGCTTTCTGTACTATGGCTGTCCTGGTGCCTCAGTGGCACATGGTCTAAGACCCAGAGGGCAGACAGGATGCCCGTTTCTCAGTCCTGACCCTGCCTCTACTTACATGTGCAGATTTGGGAAGTCTCTCAGTTTCTTCAAGTTTCTTCTCTTCCTTAATAAAACGGGGAGTGGGAGTGGGGGGTAAAATGCCAAGCCTTTTGGATTCCTTTCAGCCCTGAAGTTCACAATGTCATTATTGTAAGTATATAAGAGATTTCTTTTTTTTTTTCCTCAGGCCCCCTCTCCACTCTTTAGTCAGTCTTTCTCATGTTCACAAGTCCCTCAACCTCTTCTCCTTTTTAAGATAAATGTTTAGTTGCCAGAGAGACGGAAAGCTAGAAATCATCCCCCAGAGGAGATGGCCACACTGCAATCCCATCCCTTCCATTTTCCTCTTGGAATTTTGAACATGTACACACACGCGCCCCGTGAGAGTTTCAAGTTGCTGAGTCCCAGGCTCCAAATCCAGTTGACCTTGTGGAACTCCAGCACCTCAGCCACTTTGCAACCTGCTGTCCCCTCAGCGTCTTCTGACTGATGTCCCTAGTTCTCAAAGATGGGGTCCTCAGCTCTGAGAAAGGTCTTCCTGGGCAGCGCCTGTGTGAAATCCCTACCCTTTAGACTGTCGTTCTATAGAGAGGGAGCCCCTGACTCACCTTCCTGGGACTGGAGAAGCAGGAGAAGGAGGAGCAGCTGTGGCCTCATGCTGGCAGGACTCCCTGGTCCCCTTGCAGATCATGGGAGTCAGGACGGTGGAGGGAGGGAGCGAGTCCTGTTCTAGTACGAGGTCAAGTTTGCGGATGAAGCTCTCTGCTGGTTCCTCACGCTGATCACATCTGCCAGCCACTTCCTTTCCTACATTTATTTATTTATTTATTTATTTCATAAGGGTAAGACAGAGGGAGAGAGCGGGAAGTGCCTTTAAAGGGTCTCATACCACAACCCCCCCACCACCACCACCAGCCTTCCCAACCAGCCAGGATCATGGGCGCACACCCATATGTACAGGTCAGCCGGGGAATGGAACCTGCAATCCTCCATTTGGCTTCAGCTTTGCTTGAGCAGAGCATCTCCACAGCACCACGGAGCCAGCACACGTTAATGTCTTTAATTGGCTCTGACACTTGCATCAGAATCTGTTCTTAAAGGCATACATAGTTGAGAAACATTAAGATCTCAGTTTAAAAGAGCTTAGTATGCTTAACAAAGAGTTTGTATGTATTGGTTAGCTTTTTTTAAAAAAATTAAATCCTCTTACCATGACCCTGTAACCTGAATAGTTTACAAAGCTAAATGAAAAGAATGAAGCCACCAGATGCTGCTCCCTCCAAATATATGATGGAAGATAAGTAGAGGGTTCTATCTGGTCTCCCGAACAATGCACTGTGGAAGTAACCCAGCGCAGGGCAAGTCTTAGCAACAAGATCCAGCCAGCACTGTCGGCAGTGGAGACCTTGCTTAGCCTGGCTAGACCAGCACTGTCTAGTGTGTACCCAACTCCTGACCCACTGGACCGTGCAATTCATGTTGGACTTGATTCTTCTTTAGACATGATGATAGACTCTGCTACATAAGGCTGGAATCACAAAATATCACTGGTATGATGTAACAAAAACCAACATAAACTTACTTGTGATGATTGTTGTGATGGGTCGGGGATGTGGTATTACAAGAACGAAGAGTCCAAGGGCAACAGTATAGCCAGGATTTAGAAAGCACTTGCTCCAGAAAATGAAAACACAGAGGAAACTAAGTAGGACATTGAGTCTTTATTGTTGTCCTGTGTTTCTTTCTTTCTTTCTTTTTTAATTTGCTATAGTTCTGGTGCACTTGTAGAACAGAAAGAGAGAAAGATAAATCACCCCTGGGCAGTGGGGTGGGGTGGTGGAATGGCCAGACCACCCTTCTCTTTTATACTCCTCTTGGTATTTTGGGCATGCACACACAAATGCCTGACATGTCTTTTCATGCTACTAGGCTCAAACCATGCAGTTGGCCATATAGAGTCCAGACAATCTAACCACCATGCCATCAGCTAGCCCTTGACTCTATTTCTGTGTCTGATTCATTTTCCTTTTTCTGGATCAGCAGACTCCATCTCCCTGATAGAACACTGTCACCAGAGCACAACTGCCGCAGGGCCAGCCTCATTTAGAGACTCACCACCATTCTCTACTTCTCTCTCTGTCTTCACATCCTGTTTTTCTCTCAATTCCAAATGTCTAGGAAGGAGAATAGGGGTAGGATAGTGAGGTCTGTTATGCAAATTTGCTTGCCTCATTTCTACTTCCCCTACATGTGAGAATTAAGGGTATTCTTATAAAGTCAGTAGCTCTTTCTCAATGGTAACAATACACAGGAAATAGTCAAACATAGGACATCTTGCAAGTTTTCATCCAGGTGCTAAAGTTGAGATAATGGTACATAAACTCTCAAGGTGCTGCCACCCAGATTCAAGAGCTAGCACTATTTTCACTTCCATTTTACTTATTTCTTCAATGGGAGAGGAGAATATGGAGTGGCAGGTACCCTCAACAGAGTCCACGTGCCACGATCCATCCCCAACCTCAGCAGCTCAGACCATGGGGTTGGGCAAGACCCAGCATGATGAAGGGAACCTCCCTATGTGGATCTGGTGGTGCTGCCATCACACCACCTCTTGACTCTCATTTCTTTCTTCTTGTTTGAGTATTTATTTACTTATTTATGAAAATTTTTTTGCCACAGGATGTGTGTGCTCACCAGAAGGAGATCGTCAGAGGGAAAGTGAGAAAACAATTGCCAAGCGGGATGGCCACACCATAATCTCTTCTCCTTCTGGGATTTTGGCCACACACACACGTGCTCAGCATGATTTTCAAGCTGCCAGGTCTGGGACTTGAACCACAGTTGGCCATGTGGGAATCCAGTGCCTCATCCACCACACTCTCTGCTGGTCCCAGTTGTTCAAGTATTTAAAGCAAATCCTAGATATCCCATCATGCATACATCAACCCCCTTTCCAGTCTCCTTTTCTCTCTTCTGTGTCTTCTGAGGGAAGTGTCTCTCTCTTTTACTCTTTTTATTTCTCTTGTAAATATTTTTATAAGTTCGTGAGTTTCTTTATATTTAAAGCATTTCAGTAAATTGTGATAATTATTATTTCGATGCTTAAATTTTCTCATTTTTGGTTGTGCAACCCTCCATGTTGGCTCCTGTGTTCCTTTGTCATGCCTGCATGTGTCTTGCTCAACTTTTTTTAATTCTTGCACAAGACAGTGTCCCAGGTTCATTTTGTTCTTTGCCTGCTACAGATGACATCAGCCACTCCTCCAAAGGTGCTGTTAACAGCAAAGTTAACAGAACAAGCTCCATCGCCACTTCAAGCGGTAAGTAAATGACCAGGCAGCCTCTCTCCCTTCAGCTGCGTGGCTCCAGATTCCTTCATACTATCGCTACTTTCACTTTCACTGTAGCTGAGCTCCAAATTCTCAGGAGAATTCTTTTTATTTTGTTTTCTTTCAAGTTCTTTTATACATTCAATCACATAGCTTACACCGTGACTATTCCAACATGTGTGATTCCCCCCCATCCAACTGATAATACTATAAAGTTATCTTCAACACATAATACCCCATTTCTTTGTCCCATTAATGCTATGCCTCTCTGTTTTTCAGGAGAATTCTTAAAAAGGGAGAGACATGCTCCTTCTGCTTGGAGCGAAAAGGAGTTGATTTGCGATTAGAATATACTGCCCCTCACAGGACTGTGGAAGCTCTCAGCTGTTGCTTATTACATGAGCTTCAATTTACTTCCAGAGAAGTCCACCAGACAGGTTATCCTAGAGAAGACTGCCATAAAGCTGGTAAGACTCCTCTTAGTTATTTTGCATCAGTCGCCTTTCGGCTGCCACCTTTCTCCTAAACCACCCAGGACGGTTCTCTCTTGCTCTTGCTTTATACATGGAGTAGAAGGCAGAGCCTTTTGGAGAATTATATATAGCTTTCAGTCCATACCGAAACCAGGAATTCAGACACTGTTTGAAATAGCCTTGGGACCAGCAGTTAGCATAATGGACTCCCACGTAGCTGACTGTGGTTCGAGTCCCAGAGCCGGCGACTTAAACTCACGCCAGGCGTGTGTGTGTGTACGTGCCCAAGACCCTGAGAGGAGAATGGAGGAGAAGGGATTGCAGCATGGCCATCCCCCTGGGGGGTGATTTCTCACTTTCTCTCTGTCTTTCTCTGTCTTTCTGGTGAGCGCACACCCCCTATAGCAAAAACCTCTCCAAAAAGAAAAAAAAAAAAAGAAAAGAAATAGCCTTGAAGGTCAAAGATGAAATAATTGCTCTTTTGAACTGGTGAAGAAATAAGTAGCTAGCATACAGAACGCTGCCATATTGAGACCCATGCTTGGTACAGGTGCACCATACATCCCGGGATCAGTATGGGGAATCGGCTTTCTGCTGAGTTAGCAGCTCACAGGATTGAACTCCATTTTCTGCTAGCACAAGCAGAGCATGCTGTTCCCTCTAGCTATATTTAAAATGTTATGAGAAACTGATTTATCCTGCCTCTGGTATCCCCAAAAAGGGATCTTTGAAGGTTGAGGACTGAGGTAAAATTGACACCTGTCTGCATGAAGAGCCCCATGTTCCTATTAAAATCCTTCATGCCTGGCATTTGCGCCATGCTGCTATCAGGAATATCAACTCCTAAATGTCCTGCATCTCCTCCTCCTCCTTTGCCCAGGTATCTTGTGCCCCCTGCTGACCCTTTTAGCACTTCCTCCTCCTCCTCCTTCTCCATTTAAGGCCATAGAGAACATTAATCCTATTATAAAGGATTGAAAGGAAAAACAAAAGAAGCCTTCCTCCAAATGTAAACGCTGTGGTGAAGGCTTTCACTGGACTGATCAGGGCCGCTCTTCTACTGACGTGTGGGGAAACCCAGTCCTGGGCACAGCTCCAGCCCAAGACCCAAGGAAGTCTCACTCTCATCCCAGTCCAACGCAGTAACGGAGAGAGCTCCAAACAAACCACTGGCCCAGAAATTAATGACTCTGTTCATACTACGGCTGGGAGCGCTAGCATTGATTTGATTGCCTAAGAGGATGTTTCTTTAGGTTTGCCAGGAAAGGTCTCCCTAGGAAATAGTCAGCTCTTGGGATCCCAAAAAAATGGGCATGCTTAAAACTTAAAAACTCACATGCAGCCTATGGAGACTTTGCAGCCCTGTCCCCATAGCAACTTAGCAACTCTTACTGACCTGGTAGCCCTGATGACAGCCTAACAACTCTGTTTACTGCTGACTGACACTGACTTAACCCTTTCTCATCCCTAGGGTGCTGGAGATTTTTGTTCATGGTCAATTGTTTGCTTGATGTCTTCTAAAAGGTCTTTTCAAATGACTAAAATCTGGGACCAGCAGATAGGGTAATGGCTATGTCCCTAGACTCTCATGTACCCGACCACAGTTTGAGTCCTGAATCTGGTGGCTTAAACTCATGCCTGGCGTGTGTGTGCATGCCCAAGATCCCTAGAGGAGAAAGGAGAAGAGGAAAAAGGAGGAGAAGGGATTACAACGTGGCCATTTCCCCTGGGGAGGGGTGTGTGTGATTTCTCGCTTTCTGTCTCTCTGTCTCTCTCTCTGTCTTTCTGGCGAGCATGTGCCAGAGAGACAAGAGAGACAGAAAGCGAGAAATCACACCCCCCCTCCCCCCAGGAGAGATGGCCACATTGTAATCCCTTCTCCTCCATTCCCCTCTCGGGATCTTGGGCATGCACGCACATGTGCCCGGCATTAGTTTAAGCCAGTGGGTCCAGGACTCGAACCACGGCTGGCTACATGGAAGTCCAGTGACATAGCCATTACGCTAACTGCTGGTCCCAATTATTAAAATCTTAAACTGTTATTAATAAAAGGCTAATTTTGCAGTGAGTCAAAAATTTTGATAAATATGTATGAAGCTAGATTTCCCAGGCTAGGCAAAAAAATAACAGATAGGCTTTGACAAGCCTAAAATAATCTTTAAAATGACAAACAAAATACATTCCTTATCTAATTAATCAGAGGTAACAACTATCACCAAAGTCAAATTTATTAAGAAAGAGAAACAAAGTAGACAGGAAACAGTAAGTAGGAAAGTAGGAAAGAGATGTGGAAAAAAGACATAGCGGGAAGATGTATTTGTGGTGAAAAAGGTTAAAAAGAAAGAACATTTCAATATTGAAGGAGTTTTATATGATAACATTTTTGTCCTAAAGTAAGATGGCTGGATTATTCCAGAATGAAAAAGGTAAAAGGGGACAAATAATCAAGGAATAAAGCATGTTGCAAAAGGTTTGAGTTATGTTGAAGAAGATCTGAGAGGGAATTATAAAGAATTAGAAATATTTTATGAGAAGAAGTATATATGACTGATGGTATCTGAGGTGACCACAAAACAATGGGCCACACTATTCAGTGCTTAAACACAGTAGAAATAGACCTAATTTACTAGTTTAAAGTTCGTTAATAAAACAAATCCTCTCCATATTTTTAAAACAAAAAAGGAGGAATCTAGGGCCCCTCTTTACCTGTGACACTAAATTACTTTCTTTAACCACATTTAAATTGAATCATCTAAATATTACTTTTGATTCAAAATTACATCAATGGAGTACTACTTAATAATACAAAAACTTCCCCAAGCAAAGGTCTTTTTAAAGATGCCACCAGACCCAACCTGGCAAGGTCAGCTCCTCTAATAACCTGGGGAAGAGGGTCTCTCTCTGTGCTTATCCCTGCAGGTCAGGTTTGGATCCCCTCTCAGTGCCTAAGACCTGCACAGCATGAGCTGACAACAGAAGATTCAGAATCAACAAGAACAGGAGAGGGAAGAAGCCGGTTGGAGCTAACATCAGCACTTGGGGAGACAATGACAATGACACCAAAAAATCCTGACAGAGATGAACAAGGAACCTATCCCTGAAAATCTGTTTTTTGCCATATTTGCAAAACTTATCACAAACTCTATGATACTTTGTTGCATCCTGATACACCTGTTCCTGTCCCTTCCACCATCTATTGCCTTAACAGTTATGCTTTGGAGCTATATTTGTGTTGATTGTTCTCTTAACCACTTTTTGCTGTATTCACGTTACCCTTATGTGTCTCATGGTGTCCACCGCATCCTACGTGGGAAAGTCATATTGGCTCTTAAAACAAGTAAAGGGGATATGTGAGGGTATGCAACCTGGAAGTAAGCAGTTATCTGCATGCCTGGTTAATTACTCACTTGAGCTGGCCAACACCTACCTTAGATTCTAGGGGCTCTGTGGAAACATTTGCGGGGTACGGGAAACATTCTGACCTTGGCTAGGTCATGTGATGCCTGTCTATATAATATTTAGGGCTTACACATTATCCTCTTTGATGCATACTCAGACAGCCTTCCTTAGAGTTGCAGAGGAGCAGCATAAGTAATCTAGCTAGATCTATGGCACATAACAAGATCACACATGATAGTAACAAGGTTGGAAAACATACACATTGAAGTGCTTATCTCTAACTGTAGAACTTCAACCACATCCTTGAAAGCTTGCAAAACAGTTCACGGTGCTTGGTAAAATTAATAGCTAAAGAAGATCAGCATGACTGAGCAGCACAGTTTGTCTGTGTTCACCTCTTTCTTGCTTCTGTGTCTCTTTCTTTCGCTAACTTTTTCCTTCACAGGACCAAGTCCTGGGGAGAATGCCGACAATATTACTAACCAGAGAGACGTTACTCTTAAGCTTGCTTGCAGACGCTGACAATAATTCTTAAAAATAAAGTAGTTGGGGGATCGGCAGTTGGCATAATGGCTTTGTCACTGGACTCCCATGTAGTCAACCATGGTTCAAGTCCCAGACCTGGTGTCTTAAACTCATGCCGAGCGTGTGTGCATGCATGCCCAAGATCCCAAGAGGAGAATGGAGGAGGATGGACTGCAGCATGACTATCCCCCCTAGGGGATGATTTCTCACTTTCTTTCTCTCTGTCTCTCTCTGTCTTTCTGCTGAGTGCACATGCCTTATAGCAAAAACCTCTCTCAAAAAAAAAAAAAAATTTTTTTTGAGAGAGAGAGAGAGAGAGAAGAGAAAAGTTGATATGCTGGTCTTTTTCATTCTAGCCATTTTAGTATGTACCTAGTGGTACCTTATGGGATTTCTTTCATCACATTTTCTTAATGACTAATGAGGTGGAGTCATTTTATGTGCTTGTTTGCCATTCATACATCTTCCTTAAAGTCTCTGTTCAAACCTTTTGCCCATTCATATATTGGTTGTCTTCTTTTAACTGGGTTTTTCGATTCTTTGCACTTTCTAAATGCAAGTCCTTTATCAAATGCATGATTCACAGACATTTCTCCAGATGTGTGGTTTGTCTTTTCATTTTCTTTCAAAGGCAGTAGTTCAAAATTTTCCTTTATTGATTGTGCTTTTGATATTTCAGCTACAATATTCTCACCTAATCCAAGATCACAAAGATTTTTATGATTTTTTTCTGGCAGTTTTATAGGCTTGAATTTCATATTTATGCTTATGATCAATTTGAGTCAAGTTCATAATATTGTGTAGGCTAGTGATCAAAAGTCTTTTGGGGGAGAGTATTGATATCCAATATACTTAACACCATTTGTTGAAAAGACTAACCAACTCAACAAATAAAAATTTACTGGTAAATTTTTACAAATGCTTAATAATATAGTTTTCTAAAAGTCATGTTCTGAAATTTGCAATGGTTTGTATATAACAAAACATTCTCAGGCTATGGCGGAAACAAAATTAGGAGCTTCATATTTTTAAACTCAATCTTTTAACAAAAGTCATAATCAGCAAATGTTATTTAACAATTTAAGGAGGAATCTAAAAAAGTTCAGAAGAGTGTTGACATTGTGCTTTGAGAACAAAAAGAACGTTGAAGGGATAAGGGGAAGGGAAGAATAGAGTGATGTTGATTAATAGAAATGAAATTACAGGTAGATAATAGGTACAATTTCTAACATTATAAAGTACCATAGGGTGGATATTGTTAGCAACTTACCGCAAATCCGAGGTCATTAAAAAATATAAGGATTTTGAATATTGTCAACACAAAGTACTATCAGATGGTTGAGATGATGGGTTACTAATTATTCTGATGTAATCATCTTCTATTGCATTCCTATACTGAAAAAGCACACTGTACCCCATAAGTATGTACCATTAGTATTTGTCAATTATTACCAAAGAATAACAAAATTTGAACTGGTTGTTACATCTTATTATATAAGGTTGAAATGGGACATAGCTACAAGATACTAACCTTGGAGGCAATAAAAATGTAGACTTTCAGCCAAATAAGGGTTAAAGTTCTCACTCATTATATTTGTATTTATTTAGTGGTGATTTATTATTACACAAATGCATTTTGGCAAATTCTGTAAGAAGTTTCCTTGTGATATCTGTATTTTTTTAAGAGAGATTTTTGTTACAGGGCATGCATGCTTGCTGGAGACAGAGAGAGACAGCGAAACAGAAAGCAGGAAGTCACCCCCCACAGGGGTGGGCCATGCCACAATTCCTTCAGCTCCGTTCTCCTCTCAGGATTTGGGACACACATGCACACATGCCCAGCATGAGTTTCTAGCTGCCGGGCCCAGGACTTGAGCTACAGTCAGCCATTTAGGAGTCCAGAGATGTAACCATTATGCCATCTGCTGGTTCCAGAGTATCTTTATTTGAAGGTATTTTGTATCCTTAATCTCAGGGCGATGCACAGACAATATTGTTATCACATATTATACAGACATGGAATCAACCTAACCCCCAAGAATGAATGACTGAGTTGAAAATGTGGTGCATGTACACCAAGGAATACCATAAAAAATAATGAGACCCTGTCATTTGCTACAAAGGAAATGATTATAGAAGATTTAATGCTAAGCGAAGCAAGACAAACTATCACAGACAGACATTGCATATCCCCACTCAATGTGTTCTAAATGTCTGCACTTCATGACAAAAACTGAAAGACTGGAAGATATAATAGCAGAGTTGACAAGTGTATATACCAGAGACTGTGCAGGAGGGAGTGCAGAGTGGCGGGGGTGGGGGTGGTTAAGAGAGAAGAGCTCAGGGAAAAATATATTAAGAGAGTAGAAAGTTATCTGTTGAGGATGATGTGCATGGTAATATCTTTGACTTGATTGATATGCAATGCATGTTTGCTTTGAAAATCTATACTGTATTCTGTAAAGATAACAATGATTAAATATAAAATAAATTATATGTGTTCGATTATTTTTACAATATATATATGACCATTGTGAACATTACCCTACTCTCTGTTGATTTCACTTACTCTGTTCTTTAACTTTAATTGTACGTGTATAGATGTCTTCCCTAGTTAATCTAGATGGAAGACATTAAGACATTTTAACTTGCTTTCGTCATCTTTGAAACACACTTATTAAAAATGTGATCATCAGAAAGACATTTGCATATCTATATTTATTGTAGCATTATTCACAAATGCTAACACATGAAATCAGCCTAAGTACCCAACAACTGATGACTGGATTTTTAAAATGTGGCACATAGGGGTCAGCAGGTGGCATGGTGCTTAAAGCACTAGACTCCCACATGTCTGACAGCAGTTTGAGTCTCAGCTCTGGCAGCCTGAAAATCACACTGCGTACATGTGTGCACGTGCCCCAAATCCCAAGAAGATAATAAAAGGAGAAGGGAATGTGATGTGGCCATCCCCCTGGAAGGTGATTTCTCACTTTCTCTTTTTCTGTTTCTCTCTCTCTTGGGTGAGCCCATGTGCCCTATGACAAAAGAAATAAAAGTAAATAGCATGGCAAATAGACACTACAGAATACTCCTCAGCCATAAAGAACAGTGACACTGTCATTCGATACAAAGTGGATAAATCTGGAAGCTGCAATGCTAAATGAAATAAGCATCTATGAAAGACAAACACAGTATGTCCCTACTCAATACGTAGTGAATGTCTGCACCTTATGGCAGAAATGGAAAGATCCGAAGACATAATAGTAAGAAGGACAAGCGTAGATACCCGAGACTGTATGGGAGGAGTGTACTGTGGTTGAGTGGTGCAGCAAAAACACTTAACAGACACAAGAAGGCAAAGTTCGTTGTTGAAGATGTATATGATAATATCCTTGGTTTGACTATCACACCTTGAATATATGCTCTGAAAAGCCTTATTGTATGCCATACAGATGTACAATTAAATGCAAATAAGAAAATATAAAATAAAAACATTTTAATGTGCTAATATTGACTTGATATTTGTGCTATTTAAAAAATTAATAAATTTTGAGGCCAGTTGATGGCTTGGTGGTTAAGGTGTTGTATTCCCACAGGGCTGACTATGGTTTGAGTAGTGATGTACCGTATTATAATCATTGTTGGACTTTTCTCATCATTTTTTTTATTATGACTAACTTCTTGTACACTTTTACAAATTTTTCAGGAGTGTTCTTTCCAGCACAAGAGAACAATGGAATGACTGTTATGTTTAAAATATTTTACTTTTTACTTTTAGAGAGATTTTTACCATATGGTGTGTGCGCTCTCTGGAGAGAGAGAGATAGTGAGACAAAAAGCAAAAACTCACCCCCTGCTCACCAGAGGGATAGCCACGCCGTAATCCCTTCTCCACCCTCCTCTCGGGATCTTAGACATGCATGCACATGCGCCTGGCATGAGTTTTAAGCTGCCAGATCCAGGACACAAACAGCAGTTGACTTTGTGGAACATCAGCGACATAATCATTATACTACCTTCTGGTCCCAATATTTTACATTTCAAAATAGTGAAAGCGGGGCCAGCAGGTGGCATAGTGTTTAAGGTGCTGGACTTCCATATGGCTGACTGTGTTTTGAATCTCAGACCCTGAAAATCACGCTGGGCATTTGTGCGTGCATGCCCAAAATCCTGATAGGAGAATGGAGGAGAAGACCATCCCCTTGAGGAGTGATTTCTCACTTTCCCTCTCACTGTCTCTGTGTTTCTGATGAGAGCACAAGCCCTATAGCAAAAACCAAAACAAACCAGTAAATGTAAAACTCAGCACCACAGAAGCATCAATAAGAACACAGTCACCTGTAGGTAATAGAATGGTATGGACTGACTCTGACTTAAACACTAAGGATATTTCAGTATTTCATGTCACAAGAATTACGGAGAAGGTGTCTCCTGGCCTTGGTTCAGTTGCTAGAATATACCATAAAGGGGAAGAGCCTGTCCATCCTTCCACTGAGCTGCTAGGTGAGTGTTTCTGTTCTTAGACTAGTTACCTCGCATCTGCAAAAGGGCTGTCAGAGCTCCAGCGTTTAGAGGTAGTGAACAAGGGTGTAATCAGGACAACCAAAGGGTACTCTTTCAGAGATTTCTTCTTATAATGGAAAATAGTCTTTTCTGGAAGCAGGCTTTCTTTGCATCCAGTTGGCCAGATTGGTTACGTGCCTACCCACAAAACGCTCCCTGGAAAGCAGTCGTTTTCCACGCCTGGTTTACATGAATGATGGGACTGGTACATGGCTTACCTGATGAAATCAAAAGAACAAGCTCGTAGGTGATAAGTAGGCAGCTAGTAGCTCAGCCACAGTGACAAGAAATGTCACTGTGGACAACATGGTTTCCACCATGACAGCAAGGCCTGCTTACTGGGAGAGGACCACCGATCTTGTTTCCAACTGCGACGATGAGGTGACAGCATCAACTTTATTTACAGATCTACTCTCTGCCCATTTTTAATTGTTCAGTTCTTTATGAACCTTTCATTTTTATTTTATTTATTTCCTTTTAGAGATTTTGGCTATATGGAATATGCACTCACCAGAGAGCCAGAGAGAGGCAGAAAGGGAGAAATAACCCCCAAGGGGGGATGAACACACCACAATGCCTTCTCCTCCATTCTCCTCTTGGATTTTGGGCACATATATACACGTGTCCTGCGGGAGTTTTAAGCCACAGGGTAGAAAGCTTGAACCGTGGTCAAACACATGTGAATCCAGCAAAGTAATCATTAAGCCATCTACTGGTCCCTCTTTTAAACATTTTAAATGCCAGAGTGCATGCGCATTCACAGGAGCAAGAATAGGAGAGAGAGAGAGAGAGAGAGAGAGAGAGAACTTCTCAACAGAGCCTGGTCTCCTGCAATCCTTTTCGCTTTCTCTTTCTCCAGCCTGTCAAGATCTTGGACAGTCACATGTGTGTCTTGTGTGTTTTTCAGTTTGTTGGGACTCGAACTGCAGTTGGCTACATGGGATCCATAACCCGGCACAGTGCTGGCTATATTACAGACCTGGCCCTTTTTCAAAAAAATTATTTGGTGATGTCCAGCACTGCATGTAACAGTAGTATTATGGTTTGTGTTCTAAAACATTCTTTGTCTCTTCTTACTTCAAAACTTTCCAAAATGAAACTGGTTCTATCACTGGTGTTCTAGAACCTACCCTCTTTGAAAGTCTTTATCAGGAGGATATGATCTGAGAATGGTCCAAGGTAGATTTTCCTGATCATTTATTTCTTCTTTAAAACTTGCTTTCTATTCATTTCAAAAGGCTTTTGCAGAAGGGCATTTTCTGTGAAAGTTTGGAACCAGATACTAGAGAATGCTGACTCGCTCTGGAATAAGGGGCCACACAGTCTAAAGGCATTGCGATGACTTTGACCAGGCAGAAAACCCCAAAGGCACAGGAGGAGCCCATGAGGCTGAGTGACTAGGAAGGGGCAAGTGAGGAGAGTTCTTCCCTGTAGGATCAAAAATACTCTGCAAAACAGCAAAGGCCAGTGGATTACCTAGTTGTTCCAGGTAGAGTGAACACAAGCTCCTTTTCCTTTTTCTCCAGCAAATCCTCAGGAAGTGTTGCATAACTCACTAATGCTTTTTGCTGTTGGATTTTATGATGGGTGGGAGAGAATATTCAAAGGTACATTGAGGATTAGCTTTCTGTATCCACACTGGCCCCTGCAGAGAGGGACACAGGGGTCTGGGGGCAGAGTGGGCAAGAGATAGTCAGTCCCTGCGAATTTGTAGGAATCTGGAGGATGTTTTCCTGGGTCATGGCATTGGGGGATTGTGGAAATGCTATCTAAACTTGAGCTGCTAGGCTAATCAAAGGCTTCACCACAACCTGGACTTTCCTGGGTTAGCTGGTGAGGTATCTGAATTGTTCCTGAGGCCCCAGGTGAAAAAGGGTTTTCTTTTTTGGAAAGTGCCATATTTTACTTGGGAGAGAGTCCCTGGCTGGTTGGGAAGGCTGGTGGGAGGGGTTGTGGCATGAGACCCTTTTAAAGGCACTGTCCTTTCTCTCTCTCTATCTCTCACCCTTATGAAAGAAAGAAAGAAATGTATAAGAAAGTAAGAAAGGAAGTGTCTGGCAGATGTGACCAGCGTGGGGGCCCAGCAGAGGTGCATCTGCAAACTTGTCTCCGTAGCAGAACAGAACTTGCTCCCTCCCTCCACTGTCCTGACTCTAAAGCAACCAGAGGAATCCTGCCAGCATGAGGCCGCAGCTGCTCCTGCTTCTCCTGCTTCTCCAGTCCCAGGAAGGTGAGTCAGAGGCTCCTTTCCCACAGCCTGACTTTCCAAAGGGTAAGGATTTCACATAGGCAATGCCCAACAAGGCCTTTCCCAGAGCTGAGAACCCCATTTTTGAGAACTTGGGACATCAGTCAGAAGACATTGACGGGGCAGCAGGTGGCATAGTGGTTGAGGTGGTGGACTCCCACAAGGCTGACTGCAGTACAAGTCCAGGACCCAGCAGTTTGAAAGTCACACGGAGTGAATGTGCATGCGTGCTCAAAATCCCAAGAGGAGAACGGAGGAGAAGGGATTCCAGTGTGGCTATCCCCTCTTGGAGGGTGATTTCTCACTTTCTCTGGTAAGCAAAAAATCTCTCTTATAAAGAAGAGGTTGAGGAACTTTTGAACATAAGAAAGGCTGAGTAGAGAGTGAAGGAGAGGCATGAGGAAAAGAGATCTCTAAGGTACATGGAATAATGACACTGTGAACTTCTGGGCTGGAAAGAATCCAAAAGGCTCGGCATTTTATCTCCCCTGTTTTATGAAGGAAGAGAAGAGGCGTGAAGAAACTGAGAGGCTTCCCAAAGCTGCACGTGTAAACACAGGCAGGGTCAGGACTGAGAAACGGGCATCCTGTCTGCCCTCTGGGCCTTACACCATGTGCCACTGAGGCACCAGGACAGCCATAGTACAGAAAGCCCAGCTCTGGAGGGGAAGCATTTCAGGAAATGGGAAAACTGCAGAGTTGGCATCCAGGGCGCAGGAGATCATAGGAGCCAGCAGGGCAGAGCCGTGTTCTGGCTTCCCCTGTGGTCTCCATTCCGGTCTCTCAGGCCAGTAGCTTTCAGGGGAACCCACTCCTGGG